TAGTTCAGTTTAGTTGTCACACAATTATCCGTGTCAAGGTTTTCTGAGAACCTAAAATTGAAAAAAACTCAATTAACGGTTTAAATGTATTTGAAAATAGATGTGCTCATCTTCTGATAGGATCTTAGTTCCTGCTATTTAAGTTGGGTTAGCTACAAAATAAATAAAAACAGGTTAGGAATTTCTATATAAACAGAAATGCAAAATGTCCATTTTTCAACACAACGGACCATAGACTTTAATGACAACTAGTTTAACTACCTACTCTACAAAAGAATTAGGGGGAATGTACTCTTTGTCTGTCCTTCTGTTCGTCAGTCTTTTTTCTGATCTAGGGTTTCCGGAAATGTTTTCTCCCTAGATGTTGATGAATGTGAGCTGATTTAAAAAAATGTATATGAGTCACCCTTGATATTTCCTCTTCTTTACGAACTGCAGATTTCAAAGCATTAATTTTTTTCAGACTATGTACCCACCCCACTCCCGACCCAGGGGGCATAAAAAATAACCATTTTGCTAGTTTCACCTTTCTTCATCATAAATATATATACTTGGATCATTGGTATAAAATCCAGGAGCAAAGGAAAAGATTATCAAAGAATTATTACATTTTCACTATATAATCAATAGAGCCCCGCCCTAATACCAGAACCCCTGACCCAAGAACCATAAAATCAACAATTTTGAAAGAGGCACTCTTGCTTATTATAACTATATGCTTAGTTAGTTTATTTAATACCAAGGAGCAGAGAAGAAGATTTTCAAAGAATTAATGCATTCTCACGATATGATCAATAGAGCCCCGCCCTGACACCAGAACCCCTGACCCTGGGGGCATAAAATTCACAATTTTGGATGAGGCACTCTTGCTCAACATAACTATGTAGTACTTGGTTTGTTTACTTAATACCCAAGAGCAGAGAAGAAGATTTTTCAAAGAAAAAATGCTTTTTCACTTTATAATGTATATAGCCCCGCTCTAGCACAAGAACCCCTGACCCTGGGGCCATAAATCTCACAATTTTGGTAGAGGATTAAATGCTCAGTACATTCATCTAACAGTTTGCCTGCTTAATGTCCAGGAGTAAAGAAGATTTTTAAAGATTGCAATAATTTTGGTGGTTTTGGCCCCGCCACTGAGGCCCCAAGTGGGCGTAAACCATAAAATTCAAATTTTTGTTCCCCTAAACCCATAGATACTGTATATCAAATTTGGTTGAATCTGGTTCAGTGGTTTCGGAGAAGAAGCTGAAAATGTTCAAATGTTAAGACACGACAGACGACGCACAACGGACGACGACAGACGAAAACGGATAGCAATAGATCACCTGAATTACTCAGGTGACCTAAAAATAGGTGCAGAGTAAAAACGTACCTCCAAAACACCAGAGGTTTGATGAGTTGTAACATCGTCGCAAATCACGGCCAAAATGTACGCTCCTCTCCCATCTGGTCGTGGTTGAACGAGGAGAGAATTCTTCGTAGCTCATTAAAATATTGACCAATGAGAGTAAAGCATAGTCGGATGATGAACTTTATCGCAACCTTTCTATATCCAATCGCAGTAAAGGAAACATTTCTTGTATACTGTTGATGTCAGTTGTTGATTTCGATTGCGATGGAAACAAAACTTGCCACTGACTGAATATGACGTCACAATACAGAGGCGTAAATATTCAAGATTGCGACACTTTTTGTGATCAAGCAGCCACGGGTAGGAGAGAGCTATATATGCGGACTCCGGACCGTGGCTTGGGACGATGAAGTTGCCATAGAGCAGTGAGAATGCCCTGTCGACCTGTAATACCCGCCGTATATATGCTCCTGGTCATGATCGATAACGTCCACTATTACATGTATATGTGTAGATAAAGGCCAAACAATCAGTATAAAAAAAGTCATTCACCATTTGACTTAATGATATTAGATTTAATTTGCCAATATGCAATAGTCAATATGCAGATAAAAAGGGTATCTGGCTGCATAAGTCGAAGAAATGACGATTGAAAAGTTAAAGTCATTACATTTATCATAATTAATGATTTTTGTTAGATAACCATAAATGAATTTTTCGTCTAAAAAATTAATAATATGTCATCGGGATATATCGTGTCGACAAAAATGGATATATACAGTGTTTAACTAACGATAAATTAAACCTGGTTTATAATATCTTGCGAAAAAGCACGATAGCTAACGATAACTGACGATAGTTTAAAACAAGAGGCCACATCGCTCACCTGAGAAGCTTTGACCATTCTGTTCTTTACCAGATTATCCCCTTTGTAATACGTAGTGTGCCCCCCCCCTACCCTACTATTCATAATTTAGACAATTTGACATCTACACTACCCCAGGATGCTTCCACATAAGTTTCAGCTTTTCTGGCCCAGTGGTTCTTGAGAAGAAGATTTTTAAAGATTTTTCCTATATATTTCTATGTAGAAATTTGATTCCCCATTGTGGCCCCGCCAAACCCCCGGGGGTCATGATTTGAACAATTTAGAATCTACACTACCCCAGAATGCTTCCATATTAGTTTCAGCTTTTCTGGCCCAGTGGTTCTTGAGAAGAAGATTTTAAAGATTTTTCCTATATATTTCTATGTAAAAATTTGATTCTCCATTGTGGCCCCGCCCAACGTCCGGGGGTCATGATTTGTACAATTTAGAATCTACACTACCCCAGGAGGCTTCCACATAAGTTTCAGCTTTTCTGGCTCAGTGGTTCTTGAGAAGAAGATTTTTAAAGATTTTTCCTATATATCTCTATGTAAAACTTTGATTCCCCATTGTGGCCCCGCCCAACCCCCGGAGGTCATGATCTGATCAGTTTAGAATTTACAATACTCCAGGATGCTTCCACATAAGTTTCAGCTTTTCTAGCCTAGTGGTTCTTGAGAAGAAGATATTTAAAGACTTTTCCTATATACTTCTATGTAAAACTTTGATTCCCCATTGTGGCCCCGCCAGACCCCCGGGAGTCATGATTTGAACAATTTAGAATCTACACTACCCCAGGATACTTCCACATAAGTTTCAGTTTTTCTGGCCCAGTGGTTCTTGAGAAGAAGATTTTTTAATGACCCCACCCTATTTTTGTCTTTTCTTGATTATCTCCCCTTGTGAGGGGACTTGGCCCTTCATTTTTACAATTTGAATTTCCCTTCACCCATGAATGCTTTGTACTAAGTTTGGTTAAAATTGGCTCAGTGGTTCTTGAGAAGAAGTCGAAAATGTGAAAAGTTTACAGACGGACGGACGGACGGACAGACAGACAGACAGACAGCTAGACGGACGGACGGACGGACAAAATGTGATCAGAAAAGCTCACTTGAGCCTTCGGCTCAGGTGAGCTAAAAAGCTGATGATAACTTACGATAGCATATACCACTCCTGAATGTTGACAAGTTGAACATCACTCATCTTAGAATTCCATTCTTGTACCATAAGTACAACATCGTTATCTACCGTTGGAATATCGTCTCTCTGAAATAGCATCATTCTCGATATATACATGTATATTCTATATTTATCAACTTTCGAAAACAATTATAAAATGAAAGCCAATAAGTCTCAATGCTCACAAGAGCCACGTTTGCTCTAAGGCTAATCAGAAAATTTAAGAACTTCTTTCATTTAAATTTCTTTTTAAATAAACAAAATGCCCTTTTTACATCCGTTTTCTGGAGGGGTAGTACAATCAGGACACCAGCTAGACCGGAAGTTCTCATGGCTCCATGATGTGAATGGTACCAATGTGTTCCTTGGGGATTAGCAAAAAACCTACAGAAAATTAAAAAAATAAACGTCTATGTCTTTATATCATTTCCAATTGACAATACAATTATGCAATAAGACAATAATAATGAAATATATAGAGGATATTTATTGCCTTGGTGTTGGATACAGGAAACATCAAATAAATACGTCGTTTATCTTAAATATTCTTTTACAAAGTAAATGGAAATGAAAAAAATAATTTTAAAAAAATCATTTTAATATTTCACTATAAAAATACGTGTTTAATTTTCAGTTGATATTTTCAACAGAGAGAATTGATACTTTATTTTTGTTATTGAATACTGTGAAGAATTTTAGGTGATCTTTTGTTATACTGATAAAAAAAAACAGAAGTGCACAGATCTTTGCAATTTGCTTCTCTTCTGGAATCATACTGCCTGGTCTTTTATAAAGTGACTAAATAGAACAACCTATCTCAGACAGACTTCTCCACCTTGGTTTTTTTATGTTGTTGAATCAATGTTTGCAATTGTTTCAATGAAAACATGCTTGTTGCAAACTAAGTTTAATGTATAAAACTACGGCCTTTGAAACGATGTAATTAAAATATAAAAGAAAAATAAAAAAAAACCATTTCTGTTTTTTTTACACTGTTAAAAAATTGTATATGTCAGAAGTTGAATATGAAAATATTTTTGACCAAACTTACTCACTCGTAAGTAAAGGTCTGACCCGGAAGTATAGGACATTGAGTTAACATGGAGACGCCATCCATCCACGGTGTTTCCTTCTGGAACATTCCGTGCCAGTGAAAGGTCACTGCTTCGTTCATAAGGTCATTGTGGATATGAACTTTAACCTAAATAGCAGTCCGTAAAAGATATTACGAAATCTTTGTGTTCATAAATAGTCATAATTTTTTTTGTAGAGCTTATACATGTGTATAGAGCTGATATGTATAATTGATATGTATACCATAATCAATTCAAATTTATCTTATTAAAGACTTGTGTAATAGAACGTTCCATTCATATTAAAATGAAAAAAAAATCTTGTCGATAATATAATGATACTTTTATTTGATTTTATAAACAATTCGTAGTTTGTTTAACTGTACACGTTATTATTGTTCTAGAAATACTTTATATATATGAATGACTTATATTGATGTCTCCGTCTGATACAGGATTGTGTATTATTCTCTATCTTAGTTCTTAAAATAAATTGAAACACGTGTTAAAATCTCTTACATCGTACCTTTTGATTCTCATAAACAACAATGGTTGGGGCCGGGAATTGGTTGTTGATGGCAAACATGAATTTATAGTTCCCATCCGCTGTTATCACATATTCCATTTCTATAAAAAGAAAAAATAAGAAAGGTCAAGTTTTTTCAGAGTAGAGGAAATTTATGAATTAATCTATGTTTCCTTTATCAGTATATTGTATATTAATGTAATATGTGTTCATCTGTTGTTCTAAATTTCTTTAAAGATACAGTTTTCTAGTTTGAATCAATGGTTACGCCAATATTATTTATAGATAATTATTGATCATTCAAAAGTACAGTATACATATTTGACAAACGTTTTGACGGAAAAGCAAAACTCTTTAAGATCTTATATAGAAGAAATCGAATCTGTTCTTTTTCAAACACGGACACATTTTAATTTGTTTTTCCTTATAAAACAGACAGGGGTTCAGCATACAAATATTGAAGATGTTTATGTCGTGTGAAAATTATAAAGAAAGTATCTTCAAAGTATTGTTATACAGAAAAGATTAAAAGGTGTATATGTACATATAAATATATCTATTGAAAACTTAGTATCAAATTTAACCTTTAAATCCACAAAAATCAAAAGCAGTAAAACACGGCTATAAGGAAGTCAGTATACTAAATCTGATCAAGGAAAAACTCAAATGTCTTGCAAGGTACTTTAAAAAAAATTCCTATAATTGAAATGTCCTAATATTGAGTTCAATATAAACAAGTTAACTGCATTTTTAATGATCTTCACTATTTCAGTAAAACAAACTAGACACAGAAAGTACCTGAGAAAGCTTACCTTTGTATATCAAAGGAACCTCAACACAAGGACGGTCCATAAACATGACATCATCGCAACATTTCTTGAAAAAGGTTCCGTTTCGTACAAAAACCGGGCATCCTTCACCAGTGGACCAGTTGTAAGATACCATACTGGTAATGTAATTCACGTGAAAGTCGAAAGAGCATTCTTTCTCGGAAGCAGCACAATCTGGCTTTACATTGTGATTGAATACAGATTCCACGTAGTAAAAAGAGAGTACAAGCAAGAACAACCGAGAAAGAAAGGTATTTAATTCCATTTTCTTTTTAAATGCATACAACTGAATGAAAGTTTTAAGATCATAAGAAAAATAGAATATTGAAGATGTAAATGGAGAATAGAAAGCAGTGCGCAAAGGCTAATGGCGAGAAAAAAAGGTTAAAAGGTAAAGATAGAATATTGAAGATGTAAATGGAGAATAGAAAGCAGTGCGCAAAGGTTAATGGCGAGAAAAAAAAAGGTTTAGCAAGGACGTCTTAACAATTATGCATTTATAAAGGTCTCAACTCTGTCTATATCTAAAGCTTTTTGTGAACAATACGGAAGTAGATCTGCAGTGAATTACCGCGTACACATCATAACATTACTAATTAATATTACCAATTATTTGATCGATCTCTAACCAAAAAGTTGCTAGAATGTACGTTAAATAAAAACTGGAAAGCGTCATTAATGATGTATTTAAAGAGTTACTCCCTATTCCTAATTAGGAATAAGGATTTTATGCCAAAAATGAACTTTATGTTAAAGCTGACATGAATTCTTAAAAACGCAACATTTTCATCTATGTACGACTTGTTTCATACCAACTATAGCCGTATTCCGCCATATTTCTTTCAGATACCTAGTCTCATTGTAACGATATATACCCCAAAGCGCTCGTTACAGTTGAATGATTTTTTGGTTTGGGTATCGACTTGTGCACATCTCCGATGGTAAAGCATATGAGAGCACATGAGGAGACCAAGACATTTCAAAACCACAATAAACGACATAATAATCATATTTCTGAATAATTATTGATTTGAATCAAAAGATGAAAATGCAAGTTTGGTGAGAAATTTAGATGCACGTCACGCGTAAGTATTTTTACAGTGCGCCAAATTATGCAGAATAAACTTGAAATAAAATGCAAACACATTTTTAAATTATATCATTTGAATGGAACAAAATAACCAACGACTTTGATTTGCAGCCCCTATGCAATTGGTGCATATCGAGAAAACGCTTCGAACGCTGTAAACGTACCCATACCTGGTAATAAGGTTACTGCATCCGTTCGAAGATGTGCACAAGTCAAGTGATATACACCCTGAATTCCATTTATTGAAATATGCATCACAAAAAAGAAATAAACTCCGTAAAAGCTCAAAAGTAAACACACTGTCATTACTCCGTACAGACAAGCAGGCCGATACACTTAGTCCGTGCTGATCAGATTTTGGTCAGGGAAAATATCACAAGTGGAAAGAGAAGTTATTTGGTATTTGCGCGGCTGAAGGGGGGGGGTATTATAACTGCTGTTCATAAGCTATACCTGGTAATTGTGAATTATCTATCTACATGTAGTTATAATATACATTCTATACAAAGTCTTGTATATAGTCTGCAGTTGGTTTGCGTTGCAAAATTCATTTGTCAATTATAACTGATTATTTTAGTACTAATCTCAAATCTAAACCAAGTAATTTGATGTACGGTAATTATTTACTTCAAATCTTAAAAGCAATTAACCAGAATACATTTTTTTTATGTGTACATAGATCTATACGTTCTTTAACACACAAACACAATGCCATCCCCTGTTCAGAATGACATCTAGGCATTTGATTTTTAGGGGGGGGGGGGGGGCGTGCAAGAATAATTGACATAACCGTTATCTAAATATTCTTGGAAGACAGACGAATTCAATTTTGAAATTTTTTTTGAAATGTGTCACTCCGACCACAAAGTGCATTTTGAGGAATGTATAAATGTTTTATGATTATGTTGTTATAGACAGTCTATCTATGTTGTTATAGAGATTTCAGTATCCCTGCCTGATAGTCTCGCTATTTTTTTTAATAAAAAATGATTTCTGTAGGAGTATTTGGGAGATAATTTTAAAAGCTAGGGTAGGGATTCTTGACACTGGTTGAATACGGATAATTTTTATTTACTCTTTTGTATATTGAACTCTCTCTCTCTCTCTCCCCCCCTCTCTCTCCCCCCCCCCTCTCTCTCACTCTGTAACCGTCCCTTAGGGCAATAATAGGTATAAGATCCTACGCACTTTCTGCTGTACCATTTATTAAGCCTTAGGACAGATCAAGGATTTTTTTTCAGGCGGGATGTCGAAACTTCATAAATTGAATAATAATTTAAATTTGGACAAGAAGTTAACCCAAACGGCCAAATTGAAAGAGAAACTAGAGGTATTGTGAGCAATGAGCTCACTAAATGATACCCCTGCCTCCCATATGGTTATAAGGGCAAATTCCATATTTTGCTTTTGTCGCTAAAGCCAAAATACATGTCGGATCAAAAAGTAAAATAGGAGGTACACAATGGTAATATGTAATAAACCTAAGATTCTGTGAAAGTTTTAGTAAATTTCAGTAAGTGGTATAAGAGGATTTGCGGATAAGAGATGGGTACCCCAAAGCGTAACGGGGGATATAATAAACGTGAAATCACAGAGTGTCACAGGAATGGGTACATTGGGAACTTTCTCAAATACCTCCTCAAACGCATTGGCGTCGGAAGGAAATTGAAAGTGGGGTGGGGGGGGGGGCTAAGTACAAAGAATTTTTTTTATACATTAAAAAAAGTCTGAGAAGCTTTAAAAAAGGGGAAATGTCCTTTTCCAAAACACGAATATCATATTTCGTGTGGGGGAAATGGGGGGGGGGGTAGGTTCGAACTTCAGTAACAAAATTTTTATCCAAACACCAATACTTTCCTCTTTTTTAACCTATACTGCCACTTGTCTGTGGAAAGTGTGGGGGGGAGGCTAAACCTACGCAGCAATGTTCAATGTCTATACTAAGTATATATTTGTAAAAAAAAAAAAAAAAAAAAAAAAATACTCCAGTTCCGACACCTATGCTCAAACGTACGAGTCGAACCTGAACCTGGACAACAGACAAGAGAATTTTTAAAAAGCTAATTGTAGGTAGAATGTGGAATTCTCACGGGGGGGGGTTTGCTCTCTTTTTCTATCTGCTTTATCTAGTAATCATTAATTAAGTATGTCTAGAAATTTAATTCACATTACATTCTGGTCAGCGCAACTTCTTATAAACCACTGAACAGAGTTTTGTCGTACTTTCGAGATATTTATAGGAGTCAATGTGTGTCTAGATTTGCACATCACCAGGAAATTCCGAATTCTTTATTTTTTTCGGGAGTTTCCGCACTTTTACATTTAGATTTTGGTCATATCTTGAGTATAAAGATGAGCAGTTTGTCAGCGCAATTCCTCTTAAACCGCTGCACACAATTTCGTCAAACTTTGCAGATATTTAGGACACAATGTGCATAGATGTGCATATAACAAGGAAATTACGATTCCTTTATTTTTTCCTGGGAATTTCAGCTCTTCAACTTTTGGGGGAGCGTGGGGTATGTTTTCATTCATTTTGCATAAAATTATAAATAACTTTAAATCAAATTATATTAGGTCTAATAAAGCCAATACGCAGTATTTATTTGATAATAATTAATCATAAAGAAATCAATCTGTTTCAGACGTTTTCTTAAATTATCTTTATGAGAGTGTTCATATGAATGTTTTATTACACCCCCCCCCCTCCTAGCACAGGAAAATATCTTCGAAAGGTGAATGATTCGTAATAATGCATGCTTTATTATAAATTTGATTAAGTTAAACCATGTAATCATAAATTCTATTTGCAACATTTACAGACAAGAATAATGTTTAGTTTTGAAAAAATCACTTGCATTTCTTTCAATCAACCCCACTGAGCTTTCAACCTTTGATATTTTCCCTGAGCAAATAAAATGATCGGCATGGGCCACGTGTGTCCAAGCATCTTTTACTGTTGAGTTAGCAATGGATTACTGAGATGCATTTTTTAATAAAAGTAAAATAGGATAATTCTTTCGACATGTGCACATCCCTGTAACGATAGCAGTATATTCAGGTAAATGTTTTATCACTGCGTTTGAGACGCATTTTCTCGACCTGCATGGATTTTTGCTGTACATGAATGTATTCCGTGTTGTGTATTTTCTATATATTGCAGCAAATGCATTCAAAAATAATTTAATTCTCGGTATAGTTCTATTATTTGGTTGAATTCTTACTTTTCAAACATGTATTTGGTCAGTTTATTCAGTTTATTCCGTGTATGGACTTCTAAAACCTATGCTATCGGAGATGTGTACATGTCGACAGCCAGGCTTGAAAATCACTCAAGTGAAACAATTCTACAAGGCTATATATAGCAGGTACAGGTGGCCAAAAATCTTCGATTAAATATGGCGGAATTGAAGAAATATGGCGGACAAAGGCGTACAGGAATGTAGTAAGTCGTACAAAGATGAAAAATGATGCCTTTTTAAGAGTTCATGTCAGCTTTAAAGATAACAAACGGCCCATTCAAACAATACAAATTAGGAACTGGGCAACTATGAACCTCGAAAACATCAAATGCATTGGAAGGGTGTGTATCCCTTAATGTCATAAATTAGAGCATGACCATGCCAATAGTATGAAAGGTCAGTATCCGACTTGATAGATTGTAATTGCTGACGAAGCCATTTACAAAATTATGACTTCGAACCAAACTGCAAAAATGTTTGTTTCATCAACACGATTGCCAACAGATACTGTTCGTCCATGGAGTATGTTCTTGCCTATCCATGCAACTGATCTCAAACATTCAGATCTTGTATACATATAAATATCAACGATTTACAAATTGAAAGAAAGTCTGTTTCATCAGAAAAATATAAAATCGTTTTGATCCTGCGGGGAAGATTGGTTCTTGCAATGGCTTCTCTTTATTATCAATCTTTTCTTTTGAAAAAAAAAAATATTCCATCACTTCATTATTGAGGTGTTTTTTCTGGGAATTTTCACTGTCCTGTTTGTAGAATGTACACTGTAGGTGCATATGCTGACAGAAGGATTGGGTCCATCGTAATAAATTTGTCTTCCAAATGAGTTTCTGGACAAAACAGTGACTTGAGATATATTGCTATGACAGTACAATTGAAAATCTAATACACTATGTATATTTTGTAAAGTATTATGTGCATGTACATGTATAAGATATTAATCATAAATTAAAACATCAATTTTTAATAAAGCTTGTATATAATCGTATTTTGTAGGGCCGACACAATGTCATAAGAAATGACTACTTTATTAATGTTCTTAAGAGGGAAGAGTACATAGGATGTCCTCTCCATGGACACACATATTCAACAGTGTAGTTATTATGTACAATTAATGTCATTGATGAGATATAATTGATGTATTAAGAATATATTATACAGTTTAAGGTCAGTGCATTGCACTGAATAATAAACCACTGTTCACCCTATAAATGTACAAGTTTACACAAATGGTTGCTTTGCAATAATTTGAAATTGGCGAAATAATTTTTTAAAGAATATGAACATTCAACATTTTGAAGCTTTTTATTTCATATTATTTTATTTTTTTTTAATCCTTATTGTCTAATTAATATTATTGTTTAATAGAATGTATAAGCTATATTCTCTTCTTAATGTATTACTAGTATCACAAGTCTCGCCTTATTGGTTCTTTCTCTAAACTATAAAACAAATTAAATTTAACGAGGTCGAGTCTAATTATTTCTGCCTTAGGGATTTTAATAATTTTTCGTTAATCAATTTTTATTGTTATATGTATTGTTTTCAAATGTAAAAATGGATTGTTAACCACCTTGTTTTCTAGGCGGCCATCTCAGAAGTTGTCAAATTTTACTATTGGAACCTATGAGATTTGTTTGAAGAGCGCCAAATTGTCACATTTTTGTATTTCTGCCCTAGAGATTTCTTTTTCATTCAAGTAGATGAAAAGTAAATCGTCAACAAAATGTGAAATTTCAAAAAAGTTAACCATCTATTATGGTCTAGGAATTACTTATAACTAACATTTTTTTTTCAAAGTCCAACACATTAAAAATTGCCATATTACGGTATAAATAAATATCAATGCAAATGAATTATGGTGCATATGTTTATCATCGGTAAAAAAGTAGCAATGCGTAGAATTCTAGTACGTTTCTATCAATCTTCTGTCATCAGTTTTTGTGTGATATTCAGGGACGTCTTGAACGTACAAGCAAGTCATGTGTCGTTCTCCAGCCTCATGCATTGCTTACAAAATCCGAAAATGGTGACGTCGTTAGAACCATTTTAGCGTTTTTTCCCCTGATTACTGTCGTAAAATAACATATTCAGATAAGTAGGGGTAAAGGATAAGATTAATTTTGTATTAATATCAAAATATTTGTCAAAGTTGTACTGTCGCAAAAATCAATGCATGCGATTAAAAAGCTGCGCAATATCATGCGGTAGACTCGGCCTCGTTAAATAAGCTTGTGCGGATCTAACAGTGGTGAGTGGATGACTCCGAAATTTTAGTAACAGTAAGGAAACGTCTATTTCATATCCCTTAAGAGAAAGTGGGACACCCAGTTCCTACAAAATATTGGCCCCTAGTTAACTTATAATGAAAGTCATTTTTAATTCCCTACAATTTTTAGTGGATACATGTAAGTACTCACCATCCGTACATCCCTGGATCTGCCCGTCTAATTTAAAAAAAAAAATAATAAAAAAGTATATCCTTAGATACTATCTTCTGGTATGAATGTTGTTATATACATGTAATAAGAAGCGTTTTTGTATGGAAATAGGGAAAGATTAAAACATCACAAATCAGTTGCATTATATTAAGTATAACAAGCAGTAGCTATAATAAACAGAGAGTCTTTTCATCCACAGGGTTAAGGATGATTTTCAGTCCAGAATTACATGTAATTATATTTTTTTTTCAGATTTGACAAACAATTAAGTCCTCTCTTACATATCAAAACTGATTCATGCACTTAACGAAACAGACAGGTTTGCAAAACTTAGAGTTAAATAAATGTAATATATTCTGTTTTTAATATTTTATTTTAAACAAAACACATTAGTCAATAATATTTTTTTTTATTCTACAACAAATCTCCTAAATTATTCTGGGAATGTCAATAAATTATGTATAAAATATTATTTTTGTGAATATTAGATCTTTTTTTGTTATTTTAACACACTGACTTTATATACACAGTATCATCTATTTCCTCCTCCGTGTTATATCTTCACTGTTATATCTCTTTTGACTCTATATACACGGTATCAGTCATTTCCTCTTCATTATTATAAATTATCTCTTCTGACTTTATATACACGTTATCAGTCATTTCCTCTACACTGTTATATCTCTTCTGACTTTATATACACGTTATATTCCATTTCCTCCTCACTGTTATATCTCTTCTGAATTTATATACACAGTATCATTCATATCCGCCTTGCTGTTATATCTCTTCTGCTGAAAACGTGAACTGTCAGGATAACAAACAGTCTCCTCAAATCCGAGTGACGTCATCTTGTGCATGACCTCTAACCTGTATATGACGTCAACAATGATAGAAATGTCGATACGGAAGAAACCGGAAAATGGAGAATCTAGATCAGAGACGATGTAACAAAGCATGCTAATGGAGAAAAGTGTCAAAGTACACATCATCAGCTCCATACGATAGGATGACGCCTGGATCAGTAACACGCCATAGAGAGAGAAGAAACCCAGGGTTATGAGGAACACCCACCTAGTCAATGAAAAGAGACAATCATAAACATTTGAAGCAACGTTAAATGAAGTGTATAATTTAATTAATTATTTACAAAAACAAATTTCATCTGAACTTTTCGGTCTTTTAGGTCGCACTTGAGTGACCAGTTACTATAAGTGTTCGCCCGTCGTAATGCGTCGTTCTTCAGCTTTGAAGCATGTTTCTTTTTTATTTTTTCTCCTGTGCTGTTGAACCAGTTTGAACTAATTAGGCATGTTGCATCTATGTGTGATTTCAAAATTCATTTTCTCTGCTCCTTGGGCTACCTTAGGGACGGTATCAAAACCACTCAAATTCAAGTAATCTTTATAATATCTGCTTCTTTACTCCAGGACAACAAGTCATCTAGTTGTTTGTATGATTAAAAATGGATAATTTCTACTTAAATGTACAAGAATGTGCTAAGATATACAGGTGAAAAATTCTCCTTTTTAATTTAACTAAGAATTTCTCAAAACATGTTACTGGCCAGAATTAGTTTAAGATACTTACATCAACCAATGAGTCCTTGAATGTAGAACACTGAGGTCATCCGAACATATATTGTTGAGTCTAGATATATAATCTATTAGGTATTTTTTCATGACGTCATCAACATGATGGTCGTCTGAATGATTTTTATTTTGAAGTAAACCAAGGACTTCCCATATTGCAACTGTTAGAAATAATTACAGAATTATGAAAATGTCACAAAGAAAAATTTACAATGAATCTTAATTTTTGTAATATCAAAGTAAATATTTCAGCTCAAATAATTTTTGTTGAATTCTAAAAAAAAAAAAATTAGAATTTTTAACTATTATAATTACAAAATTTTAATTATTATAATTAGGATTTTGAAAGAATTAAGCTCATTAAAGAATGCATTGTAATCAATGATGAAGTAGACCTTCATCAGATAGATTAATAAGTTTATTCTTATATAAGTTTCTCTGCACATTTTTTTTTGAAAAGCATGCGTGTTCTCTTGCTTTTTTTATTTACCGAGAACTCTACTAAATGCATAGTTAAAATCTCAGTTTTCTACATTGAAAAATATACCTTTAATATCAACAGTTGGCTTGTTGACAAATGATGACGCCTTCCTATTCTCAATCTGTAACATCATGTAGATCGCTTCACATTTGATGGCATGGTAAATTTCCATTCGGATTTTATTGTTAGCAAACTTAAGCTTACTCGTTAAAGTAGCTGCTTGGTCAATGAAGCTGATTTCTTCTGTCACCTTTGTTAGAATGTCACTTTGCTTTGCAAGAGCTGAAGAAAAGGCAAAACCAAAAGAGATGGCATAGACAAGTCCGGCAGGAGTCAAAAAGCAGGAAACACACTGGTTATTGTTGGGGAGCTGAGGATACTTATCCTTTGGCCAAAAGAACTCTGTTGTAGAGTGATAGAAAAGCATAGCAAACGGTCCTAGACATATGGTTACTACGGCTGGAAGGCCTATTCTAAGTAATTCTGAAGGTCTATTTGAAAAGCTTTGAAGGGCTTTTAGTACCTCCAGATCAAAGTTTGAAAGAAATGAGACACTGGAAACGTTGTGTTTGTATTTTGATAGGTCCACTGTCTGTTGGCTTGAGAATGTCTCAATATGGTAAACCTCGAAATCTTTATTGGTAGTACTGTGTTTGGATCTCAATCGTTTGACAAATCTTTCGAACCGGCAAACCAGCAAGATACAAACGCCTACAAAATAAGAATTTTTAAATTAAAAACTAGACAAGGAGAAATGTTTATTAGATGTTAATATGTATTACCAATCTTACATACCGGAAATAAGTGTATATTCACTGAAAGGCCACTATCTCTTCCTATTAATTGGTTACACTGTTAATCTGCATATTAATAAAATAAAAAAAATCAACAATCAAATTTTCGAGTAAAGAACAAAGAATACTTTATTATTATTATTATTTATTTATTTTTCAAAAATTATTTGATGTAAGTTGACCATTATATTCTGGATCCCTGTGCCAGATGACTTCTTCAATGTTCTCAAAAACGTTCCAAGCTTAGGTAAATATTACAAATCCGGACCAAAACAAACTCAGAGATCCGAAACAGAGAGCCCAAAACACATCATGGGAGAGATTAGGTTTCATGAGAAGTGAAAATCCCCTGTCGGCCTTCTAAAACACCAGAGGCGTGTCATCTCATTTTTTTAATTTGGCGTTTACACCTTCTTGGTCTTATATATATTCACTTACAAAGTAATCTTAAGTTTCTAAATTTCTACAGTGCGAAGATATTGATCATTTCAAACAAATTTCTACTTGTCAATTCCTCCATATGTTCTAAAGTTTATTTAGACTCATGATTATTTATGATGTAATATACTAATAGTTCAAACCACCAACCTTAAAGCCATAAATTTAAAAAAAAAAATCCTCAAAATTAAAAGATCCAATATTCGTATGACCTATTTTTTTTACTTTTGAGTAAATGTACTCTGTATACAACCAGAGCTCTTATAAAGCTACAAAAGCAATGTATGGTGTTCTTCGAAAATGTAGAAAACATAATCTTTCAATTGATTGTAAACTAGATATGTTTGACAAAATAGTGAAACCAATTTTGTTATATGGTTGTGAAATATGGGGATTTTGTAATATATCGCTCTTATAGAGAGACTTCATCTAAAATTTTGTAAACATTTACTAAATCTTAGGTCTTCCACACCTAATTTTTTAGTGTATGGAGAACTTGGTAGATATCCTCTATCTATTAATGTCGAAACTCGTATGATTTCTTTCTGGACAAAACTTGTGGTATCACAAGGTACTAAAATGTCATCAAAACTATATCCTCTCTATACTGTTTTGTACAGTTCATGAGAATAAAGTCTTGTCTTGTCTTGTCCTGTCAACAAAATATGCTTACCCCCGATTCCACAACTGGCGTTTCAATGGGGATTATGTTTTTATTCTGTTCGAGTTTTGTAGTGTTTACCCATTAATGGAAATCAAACAGTATTATTTATTAATTGTCTTTGTGAGTCCTATTTATATCATCGAACAAATGATTTTTTTCAACATTGCAGCTAAGTAATGGACGCCAATAGAAAATACACCGACAAAATCACTATAATGTGGATTTGTTTTTCTATTAGTGGGAGTTTTAGATTATTGCTTATTAACAATTAACTTTTATTTTTGACTTTTGCTTATGTATGAATGGGGTCTCTATCGCGATTGACCAAAAGGACTCTATGTACATCAATTGTTTGTCACTTGACATGATCAAAATTAAAATATAATGTACTTCTTCAAAGAACATAAAAGCTCAGACGTACGATATACAAAAATGTTTTCACTACGAAATGCAAAATTATGGCACACTTTTTGGGAGAATATCCGAATTTCCGACGTTGGTAAATCAACAACCTTTCACTCTCTAATTATAAACATATTCTGTAGCCAATATGTATGTTTTATCCACCTGCCAACCATTTATATCTGTCTCTACAGGCAATAATCTCGCTTCGTGTGAATTTTCAGCAATCTCAGAAATAATTTCAATCAAGCTAGTTTATCACTTGTAGAAACAACTATGAAGGGCTGGGAGATGGATAAAATATACAATTAATTACATATAAATAGATTAGATGTGCTTAGATTTAGCGAGTGCAAGGTAGTTAATTGACCATTCTGGAAAGTGAAAAAATTCTCCCCAAAAGTGCACAAAAACTATTGCACCGTAAATTGTACCTTTTTGCATTACGGGATATACAATGTAGCGTTTTGGTCAAAGACAAATACATAAAACCATAACGCTACAGATTTGCAGCTATGTGGTTTTACATAAGGTCTCATCCGTTTCAATCTAATAATTGTTATTGCATTCAAACTCAATTTTTGTCGGACCACATGCGTGCTCATTTAATTTTAGTTTTTATATTTACAGAAAACAAAAAAGCCTGAACAACGTCGCAAATACAGATAGACTGTGTGCTTTATCGAGGCGTCATCTCAGTCAGTACAGCGGGATCAAAATGGCGTAAATTCTACATTCTAATAAAAGCAAGATACGTTACACATTGATTTATGCTTACAATATTTATTAGAATTACTGTACGTAACAGAAATTTAAAGGAAAATGAATATTTATTCGCCGGATTCATTTGTATAGTTTTACCTTAATGTCATACTTAATTTTCCGAAACGCTGATGACGTATGGACCTATGTAAGTCCTTGACATAGCTGCGCCTTAAATACTACAGATACTACAGTGTAATATAAACTTTAGAAAAATAAACCAAGCCAGGTGAATTTTATAAGGAAATACAAAATGACAAAAATCAGCAATAAACCATAGGCTGATTTTTACCATTTTCCTTTTCTTAATAAAATTCACCCGGCTTCGTATATTTTTCTAAAGCTTAAATTACAGTTTTAGCACCAAGGTAACATATTCTTAAATTTGTTTTTCATCTGTAAACCTTTATCGAGTGTTTTTTGTCAATATTTGTAATTATATTGAAATTTCAGTAATATTTTCCAAGTCTATTTCATTTTCCAGTTCTTAGGAGAAAAAGTTTAAAGAATTATCCACTTTTCTAAACTTGTGACATGATATTAAGCCTCTTCCAAAGAAAAAAAATGGTTTGTTTCATCTGTCCTTAAATGATTGATTACCCCGGTAAAATATTTAGCTTATATTTTCATTGGACAGTAAAGTACTTTTATACAAAAAAGATTGGGTTTTTGTAGAAAACATCATGTACATTACTTTTTATTTATTACACAGTACTGTTTTAAATGAATGAATAAATATTTTGTAATTGATTATACTCTCAAATCGTAAAATAATGTGTATATTTTTCCTACCAATAGTACATGTTTTAAAAATTTTCGGAAAATTGTGACAAGCTTACTTACCGAATGAACATGAAACCAGCATTAGGATTGGTGGCAAAAAGATTTCCATGACACTCGGAACTTCTCTTGTTGTATTGTTTTCTGCCATAACTATCGCAAGAACAGCAAGGCTTTAATATCAAAAAAGAATCCGATATTTCGAAATTTATTTCAAGTTTGATTCCCACGAACTATATCGTTGTTTGAAATGTGTTCATGATATCTTTGTTAGATTGGAATATTTTACCACGACATTGAAAGAGCGTCCACAAGAACCACAATTAAAATTTCATCTCCACAAAGTTATGTAATTTTTATTTCCCACGAACATCTATGGAAGTTAATTATATAATTCCTCAATATCAAAGAACATTTGCCTCGAGCACTTTCTACCAATTAAAGCCAACTTTTAAAATAAATCTGTCTCGAACGTTCAAAGCAATGTTTTGAACATATCCTCTCAACAGAAATGATTGAACGTGCTGACGGGTCTTGAGAGAGTTAGATATCTTTCTTTGGTCAATTCATCCTCAGCGCAGAAAATTATATAGAAAGCTGTGGTCCAATGAATATAAATTGGAACAGGTTATTTTAATAACCCTTCTCTCGAGAAAAACCCAATATTGAAAGAGCTTAAATGAAAATATTAGTTTAATTAATCAATGACTCTCTATTTATCTAATTGATTTCTGATATTATGAGGTTAAGGATCTTTTTTAATTTTTGCAAAGTAAATAGATGTGCCGACTTTAGTAATTTCGATCATTACATCGTTAATGAAGGTTTAAGGTTCTAAACAGTTCTAATCAGACACATCACCGGGCTTGTTTTTAATGTGAGCATTTGTCCATGAAATGGACTTTCAACAATACACACTTTCTCAACGAAAAAAAAAATAATACACAATCAAACAAATAAATTAACAAATATTTCATCAAATGTCATTTGAAGACAATTACAACTGTACCTTAATAAAAGTCCTATAAGAATTAACCTTAATTTCCATGAGCGAAAACTAATGAATTTCGATTGGCTATTATCAACATTAAGATAACTTTGTTAAAACGATGTTTTTTTATTTTGTATTTTGACTCATACTAGTATTATTATAGAAATATTTTTAAATGAATTAGTAGACTAGATTGTATAAATGTAACAGTGATGTTGAGTTCCCTATAGTCAACTATCTAGAGGCTTTTCAGAATTCTTTTCAGATTTAAGGGTACATGTACTCAACACAATAAAATGATGGTTGGATTGATATATTTTTGATTAATTTGATTTGACAAGATAGAAATAATGAATCCCTTAAATAGGAAGGAATCGTAAGTTCTGTTTCGAATATAGGATTTTGTTTCGCTTTTTATATACTTCTTTTCTAATTTTTGCATACCTTTTAATCATATGAAAAATTTGATAAAAATATGCTTATGACTGATATTCATCATTTAGGTAGCCAATTTAGATAAAAGTCTATGAGAAATATTTCTTTTTTATCAGTTTTTATGCCTAAGAGTTCATATATGTCAAAATACAAAATATATTAATAAACTTAAGCTATGTAAAACTGTTCCTTTAAATCCAACTGATAGGTTACTGAAAGGTTTGTAAACAAAATGTTAATTAGTAATTTCTTTCAGCCTTTATTTTACTTTTCAGAGTTTTTCTTAGTTCAACTGTCATACTTATAATTATCATCAACTTTTGAAAATACCATAACACTTCCATTTCGTAGATAGATAAGCTCTCAAGGTGACCAGACGTGTTTTACAGTGCTCCTCCTTATAAGTAATTACCTATGCTGTTAATCATGGTTAATAATGGAATCGATCAATCTGAATGAAAATACAAGTCTGCTCAAATCTATTTTGGCTGCTTTTGGATTTTCATTTTCACACGGAAGATCTAATGCTGATGATGAAGATTCTTAAATTGACCTACCAGATTTTTTACGAGTGAAATTCAACCAACAGAGCATCACCTTGAACCATGATGAGGATAGGACGGGAGACATTGTAACCACTCTAAACAGTGAACTTTTGTTTTCCAAAACTGGATTCTGAAACGGAAATATCTATATAATGGCAATGTCACAGCGACACCATACAAATCAACTCAGACAATCCATGCTCAAGGGAGTGAGAGATTCACCTGGCTACGAGAATTCATTGGACAAATTCCTCACCTGCCAATAACTGACGCTAGTAAAATTGAAGGGATGCTACAGCCACAAAATACTTCCACCCCTAAACCTTGTAAATTGCAAGATATGGAAAGCAGACCTTGTCATAACTGTAACAGTTTGCAAATTATTCAAAAATTGACAAAGTCTGTTACTGATCTTTTTGAGGAAGTTGCCAGACTGAAACTGGAGTTGCATTCTCTTCAGAACAAAAACACTCAGTTAGTAGATGCAGCTACTCAAACAAGGGAACCACCTACAAAAACCAAAGACGTTGGACGTTGATACGCGTGACATTAAGGATACTTGCGTACAAGGCGTGTCGAGACATACACAGTGTACCCGAGTTGAGACTAGGGAATTCTCAACTTCTACAGAAATCTTGGCAGCCCAAAAAGAACAGAAAACCTTCAACAGACTGGAAAAGGAACCAAAACCTGGCGACTGATGTTCCATCTGGAAAATCTGTTCTCATAATAGGAAACTTAATCCTAAAGCGAATACGTACCCGTGGATTACTATAAAATGTAGCAGTTCGTACAAACAGAGGGGCATGGCTGTCCGATATTAAACGGATTCTTCAGGGAATTGACCTAACACCATTCCAGTCAATCGTCATCCCTGCCGGTGGAAATGATGTTGCCAGCAACAAAGATGTTGAGACAAGTGAATGTGATCTCGCTGAAACTGCTTGATATTCAAAGAAGATCACCATGAATTGAAATTGATATCTTGGATATACCACCACGAAGAGATACAAATGTTTCCCAAATGAATAAATTAATTAAATTTGTTTGTGAGGAATACAGTGTAAATTTTATCTCACTCCGAAATATGTTCCAATCTTCGGATCTGTTCTGGAAGGATGGGATCCATCTATCCGACAGGGAAACATCAACATTTCTGAAAGCCTATGATTCTTACATTTGGATCACTAAAACGTGTCGTTTAAATGATACACAAAATATGTCTGAAAATATGAATATGTGTTTCTACTGTGGTGAAAGTGGCCATTCCTCTCAGAATAGTCGGCACGGATTTAAGATTGTCTGCTGGAAATGCCACTCCCCGGGTCACAAAACAAAACACTGTTCATATTAGGAATTCAGCAAAGAAGAAAATGCCGAACAATCTACCCTCTTCAATTCAAACCCCTTTAGTGTAAGTAGGATCAGATGTAGATAAAAGTTATTATTCTCCTTCACAGTCAGTCATATAACTGGCATTTTCCCGATAGTTTTAAACTTGTATAAGTTACCCCAGTCTATAAAAAAGGAAACAGATTAGATCCAAATAATTATAGGTCTATTTCTATTTTATCAACTTTATCAAAAATTATTGAAAAAGATGTGGCAAAGTATAAACTATATCTTTTTTCGGATTTTGATCTTATAGTAGACTCTCAATCAGGCTTCAGAGAAATACATTAATGCCAAACAGCCCTTACAAAATATACAGATGAATGGTTAAATGAAATGGACCAAGGTAAATTTGTTGGTATGTTTTTTTTTTTGATTTCAGTAAAGCTTTTGACCTTGTCAATTATGATATTCTATTTAAAAAACTACAATGTCATAACTTTGATGCAATAACTTTACGATGGTTCAAATCATACTTAAGTGAGAGACTTCAAAGTGTCCATCTGTCCAACAAACATTCATCTTATCAGCAAATCACAGCGGGAGTTCCACGGGGATCTATACTAGGTCCTCTTCTGTTTTTATTTAACATTAATGTTCTTCCCTTATGTATTACAAAATCCAAATTAGACCTATTTGCAGATAATGCCACTTTACATGCATCAACAAAAGATTTTCAAACTACCTGTAGATACATTGTCAACGGATATAGCTTTTTATAGAAAAACGGAGTTCTCAAAATCAAATTGTTCTAAATGCTACAAAAACTAAATGCATGTTAGTTGGTACGCATCAAAAGAGATCAAATTTTTCTTAGCAGGTAATTAATTCATTTGTATGTAACAGAAAACTTGATATTGTATCAAATGAAAAAAATTCTTGGAGTTTATTCAGATAATTCTTTACAATACATTGTACATACTGACCATGTTTGTAAAACCCTGTCACGTAAAATTTCTGCCCTTCGTAGAATTAAAAAGTTTCTTCCTATTCAAACACGCAAGCTGTTATACAATGCATGTATTATGCCTTCAATTGATTATTGTCTAACTGTTTGGGGTAACACATCTCACTCAAATCTTGACAGAGTATTATAAGCTTCAAGAACGCGCTGCAAGATGTATTTTAGATGCTCGTCCTGATTCGCACTCAAAACCTCTCTTGGAGAAACTGACTCACAGTGTATGAGCAACTTATTGTAAATAAATATGTTTTGTTATATAAATCATTGTTCAACTCTCACCCTACTTATCTAAATAGTATATTTGACTTCCAGTGTAATAATCGATACAATCTTCGATCTGAATTTAATTTAGACCCCTGTGTACCATCTCATAAATGTACACTCTTTGAGAACTCCTTTCAATACTCTGGTGCTATCTTATGGAATAATTTACCTGTACATGTAAGAATGTCTCAAACACTCAATGCTTTCAAGCATCAAGTCAAAAAAATTGTAAAACAATGTAGAAATAACTTATGATTATTTATTGATTGTGTATTTTATATATATATATGTATGTATGTATGTATGTTGATTTTTGTCTATAGAAGGCCCCGGGGAAGAATAGTGCTTGCACTAAACGGGTTACCTTCTTTAAATAAAAAAATATTATTATTATTATTATCATTTTAGTGAAGAGTGATAAATTTAATTTGTTTTTCTTAATTGTATATTATCTTCCATATTGAAACCGATATTTAAAAAGCTTGATTTATTGAGAATAACTATAGTTGAACATTGTTAGCAATATGAAAGCACTGTGAAATAAATCAGTCGACTAAGTC